TCAGTGACATTATGCCTGCCTCACAAGTGCAACATCCAGAGTTCCACCCCCAGTACTTAGAAAAGAAAAGAAAAAGGAAAGAAAGAAAAAGAATTTCAAGTCTGAGGCAAATACATGCTTCTGTGACACCAACTTTTTAAACACTATAGTCTTAGAAATTCAAGCTTACCCAAATGTTTCATTCTGTTTATGTACTGTAAATTGATATGGAATTTGTTATCACTTTTATACTGTAATACAGTTCTGTAGCATTTAAAAACACTGCTTTCCAAAGTAAGGAGGAAAGGAAACACCAAAAATAATACTTCAGATGGTGCCACTGACTGACACTGTGATAATGTGGATGTTGTTAGTTCATATGAAAAAATAATAGGATTCAATAAGGAATTTCTCCATGAGTGAATACTATTGTTCTATTGCTAGAAAATTGGGTTTATCCTTTCTGTCACAAATGAATTGACTTTTTATCCTAATTTTCATTCTTTCAAAAACATTGAAGTATTGCATTTAAGTTAATAGGAATTTTTTTAAGTTTAAAGATGTTATTTTTGAAATAGTTTGATTATTTTAAATATTTATTTAATAAATATTTGATAGCAATAATCTTAATAAATGCTTTATATTTGCTTTTTGCTTTAGATCTGTATTTTCCAGACTTCAGCTAAAGCTGTATATTTCTAATACTACTGTTTCTTAAACTTTTTTTCAGTTCATTTACTAATTGATTCATCCAAAAAAAAATGTATTGGGCATGTATCTACTAGGCACTGTTCAGGCCATCTTTACTTTTATTCTATGTGAGACATCATAGGCATAATGTCATTTCTATTTTTCTAATATAAATCTATATGAATATATAACTATTTTAAATGTTTAAAAGTTGTTCATGTTCCACCCAAAATGATTTCACTTACCACTAGTGACATTTTGAGAAAGAATACTTCAGCATTTAAACTTTTTAAAAAAAATTTTTTTTTTTTTTGGTACCAGGGAACTTAGGTGTTTTTTAAGCATCTCACGTTCATGGTCTCTTTTAGACCCTCTCAATGGTCCATAACAATGTGCATGCCTATCCCCATTTTATCTGAGAGAACTGAAGCTCAGAGAAGTGGCACACCTCAGGGCATGATCACAGGCAGTGAAGACAGTCCCTAACCCTGGGCTTCTAACACTAAGTTTAGTGTTCTTTTCACCGTACTGCTCCCCTCAACAGAACGTTGTCAGAATGGAAAGACAAGTGAAGAATTGAAAGGGAAGCTTGAGATCAGCTGTCTTATCTCTGTTATAAAGACTGTAATGTAGCTGGTGCTCTAGCCTTTGACCTTTGTGATTTCCCCAGCACTAAGTAGCAGCAAATAATTGACAAAGAGAGGTGTTATCAGGATGAAGCCTGCAGGGAATTTTGACACCATCTCGAGTGAACTGGTTCTATTCAAAAGTGATCTAGATCATTGATCCAGATTCTTGTAACATGTACAATACCTCATTTTAGAGGATTCGTATGGCTTTCAGAAAGATTTGTGTCTTCTTTTGCCATAGCTTCTGTTACTTCTAAGCTGCTCTGCTGACCCCAAATAAAGTTAAGTAACCCAATGTTTAATATGTGCCTTGTGAACCAAATAAATAACCGGAAACTCAGCCTTGCTCAGAAAAGCTCTTTATCCTCTACCATATATTTGTGCCTGGATTTATGGGTTTGTTTCTAACCCCATTGAGTGCTCTGTGAGACTGTGTTAAAGAATTATTGTATCTAAAGAATTTGAATGAGTGAAAAAAATTTTAAATGTCAAAAATATTCAACATATGAGTCTTCATATATAAAGTAATATGTGAACTATAAATACGTATACATTTCAGGTATCTTTAAGATTTTAAATAACATGTAAAGAGTTATGTCATGATGGCCATTACTATTAAGTAGCATCATTATTATTTGGATAATAATTAATGAGACTGTGTAGGCAGATTATGACCAAAGATAAATTATGAAGTTGTCTCCCTATTTCTCAATAAGATAGCAATTAAATTATTTATAGAACTTCTGGCTTAAAAATGTATAAGAATCCAATAATTATAGGTAAAAGTATTGAGTATCTTAAATTATTTGCTCCTTCAGTGTAAGTTTTTTTAAATATTTGTATATGTTTGACCTTTTTAATGTTACGTTTGTGTACTTGATTTTCAGTATTTTTATGACTCACACGTTAACTAAGTAATTTCTAAGGGAATGTTCATTAAATCATTAAACATGATTTCCATTGGATGATAAATTGAATTTATTTTGTTCTCTGATACCAGTTTTTTGAGGTATCATTAAAAGAGGTTCTTGAATATTGTTTTAACATATGAATATTTCCCCAGAAACAACACACAATCTTCAAATATATTACACCATATAGAAAAGTACTAAAATTCTGAAAATAATTAAACATTTTCCTCTGGATATAATCTTCTCATAGCAGAAATCCACAGTGGTTTGTATCTTGTTTATATTTAGTTTCAGAAAGCACTATCATTGCTTTGTCTTTCAAGGTTATTGAGTCCTTTATAAATAATATAGTTCATTATGACACTACCTTAGAACCTCAGAGGCAGATTTAAATGAAGAACCATGCTAGAGAATTAGTTCAGAAAAAAAAAATCACTAGAAAATTATCTAAGCATAAAAAATTTGAAGATAAATTTGGACAAGTTATTGCTTAACCTTCTGTTAACTTGTAATTTGATTTTAAGCAGTTTAATTTTTGAGTGTGCATCTCTGTGTATATTTTGTGTGTGTGTATAATTTTATATATAACTTTATATATGGATAAATTTTTGTATAACACATATATAATGTTATAGATATTATATATTTATGTAAAGTGTTATACATAATTTACATATATAAATGACTGTATAATTTAAAAATATTGCAGTTGTTATCGTAGAAAGAAGTTAAGTATTTTGGAACTAGAGCTGAGTTTTAATTCTGGCCATGTTAACTAAAGCTCAGAGTTTCATCTGTAGAAGAAAAATAATACTATTTGGTAGTACTATCATATTAAATGATAAAACAGTGCCTTTTACATAAAAATACACAAGAAACACTTTTACTGTCCCTTATTCCTTATTTAATTAAAAATAAAACTGGAAGACTTAAAAAAAGAAATAGTTTCTCCTAATAGTTTTTAACATTAAGACCAAGAGGATACGTTCTCATTGTTGTGTCTTGCTTTGTTTCACTGTGAACCTGCGTTCTGTGGCCTGATCAATACCTTTTAAATATCTCTCATTGCACCAGTTTATATCTAATATAACTTTAAGTTACAGGACAGCTCCCTTTCTGCATACAAAGCGATGATTTAAATATCGGTGGAATTAGTCATTGATTACATAAGTATAATAACAAAACATCTTTCATATCCCTACATTTGAGAGAACACAAGATGAAACTTCATTTCTAACATGAAATGCAAAAATATATCTGGGATCTTTTTGTTTTTTATAACAACATAGGGATGTATTCTGCTTACTTAAGCTTTTTTAGTCATCCAGTAGGAGGATATTTTTCTTTATGTGAGGTATTATACAGAACAAAGTTGTCCCTTGTTCTGGCTCACAATGGATCAGATATCCCAAATGAACTTGTGCATATGAAACATTTGAATTCTTTAGGACAAAGTACAAACAATTAAAAGAAAAAAATTTCCACTGTTTGATTTTTCACCTGAATGAACCATTAGAAATGCTTGTATTCATACGTAATGAAAACACTGTATTAATCTTACTAGATTTGAAAGGATCACAGAGGAATTACCTATAAATGATGTTTATGGGTCGGACATGAAGATTTAAAGACAAGAGTTCATAATTTCCTTGCTTATTAGTATTTATTTTCTTTCTCAGGTATTTTTATGAGCTCTGAATTTTTACATAAAAGTGGCTTAGGAATAAGGAGGAGAAACTGGAATAACAGATGGCTTGGATATTTACCTTAAAGCTGTGTTTACACAGCAAGCAACACTGTTTGTACTTAGATCAATTTTTTTTACAGGTCAATAAAAATAGAATAGTTTTCTAACAGTCCTTTTATTCACAAGTGACATACAAGTTTTCCCACGTAGCTATTGTTGAGAGAAAGAGAGAGAGAGAGAGAGAGAGAGAGAGAGAGAGCAACTTCGAGAACCATGATAGAGGTCACTGGATAGGTAGAAGTGGGGCATAAAGGCTGCTTTGTGTATGCCTATCACTACCCCACCATTCTTAACAGCGGAAAGGTAGCACTTTACACAAATCAGCAGTGATAAAGCAGGGCAGGAGAGGGGACATGGCCATAAGGCTTTATTAATAACACCCTCCTCCCACACCAGCACAGACCATCCTTGGCCAGCTGCCCCATTTGCTTCCTCGCCTCTGCAGAGAATACCGCATCCTAAATAATAATGGTTGCTCCAGGCAAGGTTTGTGTTCAAAATGATGTCACATCTTAATGCTCGCAACAAGCCTAGCAGGAATGTAGGTGTTATTGTCCTCATTTTAAAGTAGAGGAAACTGAGTCTCAGAAAAGTTAAATGTTTGACTCATGCTAAGAAGTGAAGAGCTAAGACCCAAACTCCAATCTCTTGACCATAAAGCCCACCCTCTTCCCTAATCTCAGCTCCTATCTTTCCTTAAAGGAACGCTGACGTGCGGTTGCTAAGCATCAGGCAGTAGAGAAAGTAAACCAGGGTTTCTGATTTGTATAATTTTGTGAAATGAAAGTCATTTTAATACTAAGTTTTGTTCCCCAGATTTTATTTTCAAATGTTGACAGTTTCGAAGCCAGTCTTTCATTTCTACTGATGCTGCAGTTTGGAGCCACGGAATCAACCTCTGAGCAAGGACAGAAAATTTGACAGGGCAGTGAAGGTTAAAGCTCCCTCCCCCGGTGCACCTGCTCGTACAGCAGGAAAGTGAAAACCCATGTTTAACAATTACAGGTCTGGGTAATGTGGTTTGGTCTTCATACCTTCACTCAGGTGGAGTCCGAGAAGTTGAAGACACTAACAGAAGGTTTGGAAGCCTACAGCCGAGCCCGGAAAAGAAACAGAAAGTAAGCATTTGTTTTTTCTATTTTGTTTCTCAAGAATATAACTTGTTTTCCTTCCAAGGAACAATAAAATCTCATTGATTTGATCTATGTTGTGACCTGCCTCTGTACGGTCAGTATTATCACCAAAGAGGACCACTATGGAGAAGCCAAACTAGCTATATTACAAAAGTATGTTAATTTATGTCTACTCTGGGAGGGGGGGTGGTACTTCTTCATCAGGTCTTTCCTTACTCTCTCTAACCCTATCCCTCTCATTTAGGGGGAAATAGCATTATTAGTTATTTAAATGGCAATTAAATCTACTCTGAGCCTATCATTTGTAATTCGAATACTTAGGGGGTGGGACAAATAATACCTAGTTGTACAGGTGTAAATTTGGCAGATTAACCATTTAGCCAAACTGGTGCTCGCTCACAAATATTGGTGGCAGCAGAGGAGTAGACTTTTAAATAGGTCTTCTTTATAAGAAGTTGAACTTTAGCCCATTATCAGGCTTTTCTGGATATTTATTTTCTGAGTACAATGTAGTACAGATAAGTAGATAATATTAGAAACCATCTTTGCTATTATACGGTGCAATTTCATGTATCACAGCTATTCATATTAATGTAGAGAACTACAAATGTGCTTTATATACATATATTATTTGAAAATATATTATTAATAGACCCATTCAGTTTATATGATTTATATAGTATCAAACAACCAAGAGTTACATATTAATTTTTATTTATTTGTAAAATAACCCTTACATTGATTCCCCCAAATATTAACACCTAGGCTCAGTCTTTTTGTATCTTATTGTCTCTTTTAAAACATCACTTTAACATGTATTTACACATCAAAGATTTGTAAAATAAGAGATTAGAATAGTTAGCATATCTTACATAAAAAGCCTAAATGATGCCAGTAATATGTATTAATGGGCACCCTTTTCCCTTTGTGATATTTTCAAGAGGTGAAATTTTAAGTCAACACATCTCAGGGAGAACGTTCATCTCCATAGATAGTCTGTCTCACAAGAAGATGACAACCATAGGGCGAGTCCTGTACACCTGTGTCCAGACTCTTTAGAAGGTAGCGTGTGGACACTAGGAGTGAGGTCTAAGTGAATGGCCAGTTACTTCCTTGTATACCCCATGAGGAAACACCAAGATACAGGTCCCCTCTATGCTGACTGAAGTGACCCTTCCTCTGCAGAGGTTAAGGTAGGACAAAGCTAGTAAAACTAATAAGAAGTCCGGATAAAAGAAGGGAAATTTAGAAATACCTACATCACAAATATGCTGTGAACCAGTTGCTGTAGATTACCCAACAGTGTGTATTTCTTTGGTATAAAAATTTTCCAAAATGTTTCCACCACTGAAACATGCCAGTTACTTGGATTACAGGCAAAACAGAGTTGATGACATAGAAATGAGATAACTATTCCAAGTATTTAGATAAATTGCCTCAAAATGAATTGAATTATTTTCCCATGCATTTTCTACTTAGCAGTTTCGGAAAGGTAATGAATAACAAACCACAAGATTTAAAATTGTTTTTTCAAAGCCAGTTTACTGTTTGTGGGCGCCATCAAAAGGCATTCTGGTGATAGCCATAAACTCAGAGTATAGATTGGAAAGGTAAAAGAAGAAAATGTGAAACAAATGTTAACCAAAAAAAAAAAAGAGCTATATTTATCATACCATTGTCTGAATAGACTGACCTCCTTGAAGATGGCCTGTAGAATGCACATGTAATTTCAAGACCATTATTTTATTCTCCCATTCATAAAATGGGCCATAATTAACTGAGCTCACTTACAAATGAAGATACTGAAATCCAAATAGCTTAAATAATTAGTTGAAATTACATAACTGATATAAAATAAAAAAGTCATTTATTCCCAATTTGAAGAGAATTATCTAGAAAAAAAAATCTGTGTCAGGCACAGTGCTACAGTCCCTGGAGTTCATGTTTTAGTAAAAGAGACAGATTTCAGAAATAAATAATTAAAATATAAACATAGCAATGTATTTGGGGAACATGTAAAAATGGTATTAAATCCAGGTTTTTGAAAAAGACAATATATAAGTCAAGAAGCCTTACATGCTATGTAGCTATTAGCCAGACCAAGATAGGGTGGGGAGAAATAGTGTTCAGATGGAACCAGCAGTTGGATTTGGGTGAAAGTATCAGAACTAGGAAGTTATAAGAGCATGGCCAGAAGAATAAACAGAGTAAACCATGAAGGACTTAGACAGGGCCAATAAGATCTTTATCTTCTAAGGGACGGAAGGAGCAGGCGGCTGGACTTTTACTTTCAATAGGTATATATAGGAGGGTGAATTTTAAGAAAACTGAAGAGAAGGAAAGCAGTCATGAAAAACCGGGAGGTAAAATTGACAGAACAGGGTGATTGATCAGAATGTGAGGGCCGATGGATAATCAAGGACAACTCTCTGGTTTTAGCTTGGTTGGCTTGGTAAGTGATAGGAAAACTGTCTCCAGTGGAGAATACAAGGAAAAGCTGACGAGTGCAGTTGGAGTGCCTGGGAATAGCTGGACACACAAACCCGAACCTGAGAGAAGAGAGTTTTGGCAATGCAAAACAGCTGCAGTCACGCTGAGATGCTTTGACCAGCTTGAAGAATGGCAGGCGAGAAATTGAATGCCAGGAAAACTGAACATTGAGTAGAATGATGGAGATGTGAAGCGTGATCAGAAAAGATGCAGAGAACCAGAGGAAGGCCTCAGGGTTTAGAAGAAAAAGATTGAAAATTTTGATCAAAGACAAGGCGTTTTCTTATTCAGTAAGACAAGAACTGAAAAATCGACATTGGATGAGACTATCGGAGGCACATGTACCTTAGTGAAAAGTTTCCAGTCCATGATGGGTGTCCAAAGTGGTCGTGGATTGAGGAGGGACTGAGCGTAGAAAAATCAGGTATAGGAATATTTGTTCTCCTTTTTACCCATGTGAAAAGTTCTTAAGTAATAACGGAGAATTTTTGAGATGGCACAGATTTGTAGACAGAGAAAGAGGAAAAGACGAAAAGGCTGAAAAAGGAAGGTAGTTGCATTTGGAACAAAAAATATTAAGATGGTGTTTGATTTCTGGCACATCCTAGCTACAAGTCCCTGGTTATGTTGCTTAATCTCTTGCAACCTAAACCTTTCATTTCCACAGTAGGCATTTTAATTCATACTTTAGGTTTGTTAGAGATAGTGTAGAGAAAGTTTTAACAGGCAAATGATATTAAGTAAACGGCTGTTTTCATTATAAACACAGGTAAAAGAAACAAAATTATGTTATTTATGCTGGTTAAAACATTCCACCACCATATTCAATATTTAAAAGTTGCGTAGTCATTTTAATCCTTGACATCTTAAATCAAACTGTATAATATAAATAAATATCTTTAAACTGGTGTACTAATTACATCCTAATCACATAAGAATTAGCAATGTTTATTTAACACATTACTCAGTAATTTTGTACTTAAATGCAGAAATCACTTTATTAAAGAAAGGATTCTTCATCTTTTAGATATGCTATGATTTTCATTTACAGGAAAGTCAAATCTGTCTGTATATACACACTTTTTGGTAACCTGATTTTTTTATAAGCCTGAGAATTGTTAAGTGGTAAAATGTCACAATTTCAATATAAAGCCAAAAAGGATACTTACATTGCTACATTTACTAAAGTCTACATACTTTCTCTATGGACTACATTTTTAGATTCTAGGGTTTTCTACTTTCAGATCTCCCTCTATCTGGTTCTCTTCACCTGAAGTGAGTTGCAGTCATTCTAAACTGACAATGTCGACTGACATGCAGCTTCTCAACTCCCCCTTATTTCTGGTATCATTCACAGATCTGTACCTGGCTTAAAAAAAATGAGTGAAGATAAGGATAATGTGTGACAATACAGGCAATGAAGATGAAAAGTGGCAGTTATCTCCATTAATAATTAGAAATGTGATTATATGAACACCTTATTGCTTAATCAAGTAGGTTTTAAAGTGTCCATTAGTAAAAATGTTTATTATTAAATGTCAGTGGGGAATACAAAATAGTAGAGAAAACTCTACGGGAAGGCCCTTTAGATTGGACGACTAAGTTTTAACCATGCTCATTTCATGAGCAGTTTACTTCCTTTTCTAAGGTCATTCTTCCTTGACCTGGCTGGTTGGTGTGAAAATCGGTCTGCAGATTTGCCATCTGGGAAAGTCTGTCCTTGCCTCGTGATTCTCATGATGTGCACGATTCCATGATCCACTTCCGTATTTTTATTCTCTCTCCCAAAAGTAGTAATTTCTTCCTCTCTTAGCTGTTTTAAGTGTATTAAAGTCAAGACATTATATTGTACTAATTTCACCTAAATTAATGTAAGGTTTTATAGACATTTAAAATATCTTATTGAAGAACAAAAAGTCAAAGTTCCTAAAATTCTAACTTTCATTCAAGTTAATGTTGAAACATTTTCATAGTCTTAATGGTAATGTTATTAAATTGTTCTATGATTATATGCATTTTCATATGATTAATTTTACCCACTCTGCCTAAACATGTATATATATATATATATATGTTTTCCAAAACAGGATCATCCATCCTAGCTTTGGACAGATATTTTTATGCAACAAACATACACTGCTTTTCTGGTTTGCCTAAAAATGTAATGCTCAGAGGTGGAAATAAGAGGAGAATATAAATTCTCCCATCATGTCTTATTGAGGATAAAACCCAGTGAGGGCTTTGGTGAACCGAAAGGCTACATGTAAAGGCAATCGCCAGAAGTTCCAAATGTTTTTAAACACTGTGTTCACCAAATTAAAGGGGACTGTGAGCCGAATTCTCTCACAACTGCAAATTTCCAGTCTTTGTGCAGATGCTGACATAGAACTTAATTCTTAGTCATGGTAACAGCCTATGATGACAGGCTTACCTCTGTGGCCTTCCTAGTAAGTGTCCTGACAGATAAATGAAATGAATCACCTTAGTATTTGGAATATATGGGCAGTAGTTAATATGCATAAAGGAGAAAAAACAAGTTAACAGGATGGGCAAAGGGTATATAGCCACAAAGATAGTTAGTAATTAGTATAGCAATGTTATAGGTCTAAGTTTCAAAAGTGATATATATATAGTGTGTTATTCAAGCCAAATATGTTCAATGGCATGGTGAATGCAGAGAAAAGGTCAAAGAAGTGGTAAGACCACCATAAGACCACCCTTCTTCATCTGTTTTGAGTTGTAGCATTTTATTTCGTGGGGAAATGTGATGGAGGTCAGGCTGGGAGGCTCAAGTGTAGCAAGTCAGTTAGCTGTTTCCTGCCTGGAAAGCGCACCAGAATTTCAGTCTTTAGTTGTTCAATTCTAGAAACCAGGATGCTCCAGAGAGGGCAGAGGGCGCTCCCTAGTGGCTAGAGCCTGAAATTCGCACCCCCCTCCACCCTTCGAGATCGATCCTGGGAGGGAGAGAGAGCTGGACAAGAAACTAGGAAAGACAGGCTGGATTCAGGAGAACGAGCTGCATTGGTGGCAAAAGAGACCCCTGGCTCAGCTTTCTTCCAAAGTCACCAGATTGTGGAAAAAGCATGTGGAGAGGGAAACGATCTATTTTCCCCCACTTCATATGTTCAATTTTTTATTAGTTTTGTGATTTTAATCATTAGTATTCAGTGGTGGAAATCCCAGAGTGATGTTTTGTCATCTGAATTTTTTCAAATGTGAATAGAAATTGGCTTTCTCTGGTGGAATTGGTACTTTTGTTTTCTGATTAGGAAATTAAACTGAGATTTTGTTTCTTTAATATATTAATCTGGTGTGTTGTTTTCATTAATTTCAGAAGTGGAAAGCTAAATAACCATTTAGAAGCTGCTTTACATGAGGCCATGAGTGAACTGGACAGAATGTCTGGGGGTGTAAGTTAATTTATTTTTCCATTATACTGTGTTTCTTTGAAAATAAATTGTATTATACTTTCTGGGCAGTCTCTTGAATATTGTCAAGCAGCTCACGTAGTGGTACCAAATTACTGGGCTAAGAAAAAGACTCTTATCCAGAAAGATTCAAAGTCATTTAAGAAAAAATAATGTAGCAGTGGTAGCTATGTTTTTTTCTGAAAAAATACAGTGTTTTTTATATTATATTATTTTAAAATATAAGCAACAATGTACTAAAGTTCAAACCACAGCTTTCTTTGTCTGATTTTGTAAATAGCAGTAGTCTTTATTATTACCTAAATATTCAGTGATGCAAATCTCACTCCATCCATTGGAAAAAAGTGAAATTGAAAAGTTGAATCAAGATCAAGACTATACAGACATGGTTACATTTCCACTCTTTTCCTAAAAATAAAATATTTAGCACAAAATTTTGCTGTTAAATTATCAGCTGTAAGCTCAGGTTTTAAAGAAGTATGATCTATGTTTTCCTTACATCTTTATTGAATTGTACATATAATAATGTTGAATGTGAGAAGTTGAATCATTATCCTCTAATTCACACATTGACCCATGTAAACATTCAAATATAATTTTAGAAATCTCTACAAAAATATGAGTGATGTAAAAACCAGTGTAGCAATGATTTATTTTACTTGACACCTTCAGTGAATAAAGTAATCCACATTCCTACAACCCGTCCAATGGCTCTTGAATAATAGAGGGAAGATAGAAATTCTCAAAATGTTGGGATTAATATGGAAATTAGAGATTTTGCAATCAACACAGTATTTGGCAGATCAGTAGGTTGAGGCCTTGAGACATTAAACTTCCTGACAGAGTTACAGGAAGGCTTAAAATAAGGATTAAAATCTCTAATGTCAGCTGGCTGTGGTGGCACACCCTTGTAATTCCAGCACTCAGGAGACTGAGGCAGGAGGATCGCTGTGAGTTCGAGACCAGCCTGGGCTACATAGTGAGTTCCAGGTCAACCTCAACTACATAGTGAGACCTTGTCTCAAAAAACAAAATTTCTAATGTCTTCTGGGGCCACACAAATAATTTCAGAAGCAAAGTGGGTCAAGTCTGACAGCAACAGGAATTCAAAAGGAGGACTGAGAAAAGCCAACAACGATGCACTTGGCAATGGGCTGTTTCCCACTTCCCAATTTTAAGAATTCAACACATCAAGGGCCTTGCTCCCTGAGCCTACTGCTGGTTGAGGAAGGAGGCCACATCCTTTCTATGTCTAGTACGCACCGTTCCTCATGACCTCAGAGTACTCTGTACAGTCTTTGCATCCAGCCAGCATGTGAAAGAAAAGCTTATTTGTAGAGGACTTTCAGCATAGTTCCTATGGGTCAGGCCTGGAGATTTAGCATTTCTTTTGATTCTCCACTGTCCTGGCCAATTATATGGTCTTCTTAACTCAACTGGACTAGGAAATGTAGTTTACAGTGTGTCCCCAGGAAAAAGAGAAAATGGATTTGTTCATAATCCCACTATTGTCTGCCTCAGGTATTTTGGCCTTTGTAACCAACAGGCAGTCAAGAGTAATAAAGATCATGGGTTCTCCCCTGGAAGCCAGCTCTCTCCAGGGATATGTGCTCTCTCCTGGAGACACATGCTCTCTTCAAAAGAAGGTCCTCTTGCTGGGCGTGGTGGTGCATGCCATTAATCCCAGCACTCAGGAGGCTGAGGCAGGAGAATTGCTGTGAGTTTGAGACCAGCCTGGGCTGCACAGTGAGTTCCAGAGCAGTCTGAACTACATAGTGAGACCCTGTCTCAAAAACAAATAAACAAACAAAAAAACACCAATGAAAGAAGTCCTCTTTTCATGCATCAGGAGATCTTAGCCATGTGGAAAATTGTACTGGTGTTGCAAGATCTCCCCATTTTTCCTATGAAGTCAGAAATCTAGAAGTAACATTTCTCATTATTGCAACTATTTTAAAAATATTAAAAGGCCATATGGCTAGACAAAATAACTTTTTAGGCTGCATATTGTCCACAGGTTACTACAATAGTTTGCAGTCTGGATAAAGATTTCTTTCCTCAATTATTAAAAACCTTCAGTTTTAGCTTTCAGTTATAGTATTTTGTTTTAAATATATATGGAGAGACTTGGGAGGAAGAGCCAGTTTGAGAAATTCATGAATATTATTTAAATTTTTTAAGTATTATTTTTCAAAAGCCTCTTGCATTCGACTAAAGAGTATTGATCTAAGCTGTGTGTGTGCACACACGAGTGTGTGTGTGTGTTTTGTGTTACTAAAGGTTGAACCCAGAGCCTCATACATTCTTAGGAAGCACTATCCTACCAAGCTGCACTGCAGGCCCTAAACATGGATTTTAAAATGTATAACTGATGCCACGCGCCTCACAAGCAGGAGGACCCATTCAATCCCTGGTACCAAAAAAAAAAAAATTGTATGACTAAGCCAACTTGTAGTGGATCTCAAGAGCTAACTACATATATTTCTTCCTAGCTCTAAATTCTGTGATATCACACTGATAGGTTGAAATTGATCATGGTGGAAGTAATTTACACCACAAGAATTCGGAAATTCGACCTTGTGTCCAAATACTGGTTGTGAAGCATTTGCCATAACACTGCCTAGGGTCTATGCTGTCATTCATGGGTCTTTTCCTTACTCCCTCCTATCAGTAGCTGTGTCACAGTCACCTGCTTCCTGCCCCTCAAAATCATCTGCTATCTAATGCTGTGATGCTGCTTAACCCCTGCTCAAACTGATGCATGGCCTTAAATGCTGCTGGTCCCTGCATTGTTATATAAAGATGTATTAAGTGCTCTTCCGGCCTATGCAAGCTCAGACCTTCCAACAGATGGTAGTGGTATCCCACATTCTGTCCTTATTATTTTCACAAACAGACATCTTTGGGCTGAGCTGTGTGTGCATGTTCGTGTGATCTTTGACACTTCTTGGTAGCTGTAAAAGAAACAGGGTGATAAAGTAGAAAAGAAAACATGTCTGGTATGTATTAACCCACTTTTCCAGGCTCCAGCGACACTGGCCATCTAGGATATCTGGCAAGAAAGGCTTTCTTTTCATCTTAAATGTACAGTGGAGTAGCAAATGTACATTGCATTCCCCAAAACTGGTTTCCTCTAGTTCAGGGGTGGAAAACCTGTGCTGCGCCTGCTGCAGCAGACCTATCATACCTCATCCTTGTGCTCCACTGTTTACTGAAGTCCCCGGAGTGTCTCTCTGCTTATCAGTTTCTAGTGTTCTTCATCTTTTGCACCGATTGTGAGCACACTGAGGTCTTGGTAGAAAATTAAATGCCTCAGGATATCGTGATTGAGAGTAAAAGCCTGTTTCTATACCAGAAGTCATATGCTGTTTTGGATTTCAACCTCTGTTGTTACTGGTTTCATCTACCTTTTTATTTCCAGGTTCACCAAATCCCACAGGGAGACAGACAAATGAGACCACCCAAGCCCAAGAGGAGGAAGATCTCCAGATAACAGAGACTGCTCTGTTAGTGTGCAGTGTTTGTCAAAGGGACGTGCGCAGATGTACCTGTGTATAAGTATTGATATGGCCGCTGTTATATCAATATTTCAACTACGGCAGATAGCTACCACCACAACAGAGTGCTAAAAGAAACAGTGAGACCCAAGTTTTTTGATGAGAAAAGATAATGAATGCTGGAGAAACCCATCAGAATCCCTGTATGATGAGATCATTCCATGCTCGAGCGATTACTGAGCAACTCTTTTTCTATGACACTAAAATTGTGATTAAAGAACTAGTCCAAATGTTTCTGAAGAGTTTTCAATGTTGTACATAGAAAATACAGAATTTCATGGTGATATAAAAAATGTAAATATTGTACAATATTGTCATGTACAAGCGTACCTAATGCACACTTTATCTTTTATTGTACAAAGAAATAGTGTACAAAATTCTTTGGTTTCTATGGAGTACACCTACCAGAGACTACCAGTGTAAAGTGATAAATAAAAATACAACCTAAATGCTTTTCTATGATAATGTAAAAGATGCTGTTTTTGTATCTAACAGCAGAGAAGAGGCACGATGATGTAATACCTGAATTATGACATAACACTACACACCGCTGAGTGTCCACTTATAACATCTATTGGGAATGAACCTTGCCTGGCGGCTCTGGACTCAATTTTGGGTAGATAGGAAATGGCAACTGTGCAGATTTCTAAAGGGATGAGGGCTCACAGGTCTAAATTAAGAATTCAGAAACTGCAACCATTTGTTGCATATTTTTTTTACCTAAGTTTTAAAATAGAATAAGTTTTATAAAAAAAAAAAAAAACTTAGATGGGATATTTTACTCAGCCAGTTCTATAGTTAGTATCTCATAGCCACCTGTCAAGCTAGGTCATCATCCCACCATCGATATTCCGAACTAAGGTTTGCTGGTTTTTTGTTTTTTGGGGTTTTTTTTTTTTTTTTTTGCAAATGATATCTGGCAAGGTAAAATTTCTATTTCCACACACAGAAGCAAAAGCCCCACTATTTTTTTGGTTTTTTTTTTTTTTTTTTGCAAATGATATCTGGCAAGGTAAAATTTCTATTTCCACACACAGAAGCAAAAGCCCCACTTTGAAACATTATCAGAGCTAAGGGGGATTGTAGTTCAGTTTCTTTGTAGTGGCAAAAATAAAAAGAAATCATCAAAGCAAATTTCATACCCATTCATCGTTATTACTTAACCCAGAAGTTAAGGTGGCTTACAAAATTATTAGTGATGCTAATTTTTTATCAGTATTATATAACATATCAGATTTATTTTATTTAAAGAATTATTTATACCATTAACAGATTCTTATATATAGATATATATATATATATTAATGTGGCTGTAATATGCAGGTTAAATCTATTAACCAAATTATTTATATTATATTAAGAAAAAATGTGAAACAAATCTAGAGAGAAAATACCACAAGTATACAAACCTAAAACTGTGAGCCGTTGTAAAGTACAATGTAATTAATAAGAATCGCAGCACAACATCATTTTCCATCTTTTTTCCACAATTTTTCCTGGTGGTGGCGTAACGCTACCCCAAGGCAGATAAGGGAAGTTGCAGGCCACCCGCCTAACCTCAGTGTACGACCATCAAAAGAAAAAAAGTGTCTGTTGTCCCTTTTTCTTGGAACCACCAGCCTCCTCCCCGCGAATCACTTCAAGCCCTGCCTGTCCCTAGCCTGGAGCTCCCTCGGCAGACTAAGCTTTCCAATAACCAATAATATACCTGGCTCTGGAGGCCACAGCTTCCCACCGCTGTTCTCCCTCTGCTTCCCCCGCCCCAACTCCTTAGCCCATCGTATAGCAGAGTCCCAGTCACTCAGGAAAAAGGAGACCCAGGTCATTGCTCAAGTTAGTTTCTTGGGGCCACAGCACAGAGCATGCTGCCTGGGCTCACTTCCGATAGCAACAGTTCTTACTTCTTCTCACGGGTCCTCTGTGTCCCTCTGTTCCTTCTGTACCCTCTTCACCCCTACCCTCAAGCCCGAGGGAGTGAACTGGGCACACTTGGATTCGTGGCCTAGAGCAGGAACTCTGCCTTCAGGGGTGGGTTCACTCTGTCTTTCTGGATTCCTGGGCCACTGCCTGGCCCCTCAGGTAGTCATGGAGGTAAAGGTTTATGTAGTTTAGTTGACACACTTTTGTTGTAAGTTCATATATTTGATACATTTAAACCATGAATGTTCTTTTTTTTTTTTTTGCATCAACCTGCTTTTCTACTGTTTGTCTGCACAGTGTGTTTACTTCCAGACAGGTGCATGTGTGTGTCTGTGTGTTGGATGTGTCTGTGCCTGTGTCCGGTGTTGATATATGAAGATGTTTTTGGCCTTTGCCTTTCTGTCTTCAGAATGAGTTTGCGGCAACCAAACCTTCTTCTTGTTATTTTGAGCGCATTTGGTTTGTGCTTCCCCAGCACTGTACGCTTTACAGCCCTAGACCGTGTAAAGTATGTATCTGCCCAGGACTTAACTGGCTGCAGATGGCTTTGCTGTGAGTGCTAGGTGTAGCTGTCTCAGTCCACGTGAGGTCTTTTCCCTCTCACAGTTAAATGGTTCATGTAAGCAGTTCATGTAAATACTGTTTGCAGTTTAGGTTATGGAGTGCGTTAACATTTTTTAGATGTTGCACCGTCTTTATAATTAAAAACTGGTCACTCATACTTCAATTCTGCCCAGAAAGCCATTTCTTTCTCTTTGTATTGAAGCCAATTCATTTTTTTAAATGAAGGCTAGCCCTTCTATGTTAGTACATTTTTTATTCTCTCAAATAAACTTTTTAAAAAAACAAATCCGAGAATGGGAACAGAATGACATTTTTTTTTTTTTTTTGGTCCTTTAAAGAGCATAATAGTTCCTGCTGGAAAAAGGAAATCTAATTTCGTTTTGTGTCCCTAACAGCCTTAGAAAGCACACGAAGAATAAACTACGTATCTCGGTAGTTTTTAGAGTCTTTCCAACGAGTGAATATTAACTGTGCAGCTTTTGTGTGGCTTGTCTTGTTTGTAGTATTAAAAGCAGCCCATGGTTTTTATTTATTTAAAGGAACATTTTTGGTTTGTACTTTTCAGTCACATTATGAATGAAAATGCTTTAAGAAAAACATTCCTCTCTCGTGATATCACAGGCCTCGTGAAGTCTTATTTAGACCCCTACTTTTGCTCTGTCTGTTTTTTAAGTAAACATTGCTTTCTTACTTAAAAATGAAGCAGCAGAATTACGGGAGGAGCAGAGGGCTGTTATTTCACATTCTGTACGTTTCATGAAGATTCACATGAGTTGATTGCTTTTTCGTTTCAGACCATGATATCAACTTTGGTATCAATTTGCAGAGTTCCCTGGCAAGTCACAAACAATTTTGCACTAGGATTTTAAAATCTAAGACACTCAAGATGTTTGTGGCTTTGTTCTTTCTGAAAAGAAAGCAAAGATTCTAGACCTTACTTAAAATTCAAAATCTTGTTTACTTTACCTAGTTACGCCCAAATGATACGATGCAAGACACAAGATGCTTCCGTGGCATATGCATGAAACGAGTCGTGTGTTACTTGATTCATTTGGGGATATGAACAAAAGATATCAACCAACCACAACTATAATACTGAATTAGTTTACCTTTTTCTTTCATTTACTTTCTCATATTTGCATTAGCCAAAGAAATAAGGACATTAGTAATTCCTATGTGTAAGCAACACAAAAGTGACTATTAAATCAGTGAGCCGAAAAGCAATAAACAACTGAAGCATGGTATATCCTACTATCAGTGGGAAGTCTGATACAGAAAAAAAAAAAATATATATATATATATATAAAACATTATCTTCAAAACCGAAAGATTAATTTGTACCTACTGTAAATATGTATAATATCTTCAAACGAAAGATTAATTTGTACCTACTGTAAATATGTATATCAGACTTATCTGCTTTATACACACTGTGTGTGTACTTCAGTGACCTTTTATAAACCAGAAAAATGGTTGATTTAATAATTTGTTATGTAAATACAAAGTTGTCTATAAATTGGAAAATTTGATGCCATATGGCTTCATTAATATACAACTGTGTTTTGTAACATCATGCCTTTATGGGTTACGTATAAATACACTGGAATGTCTATGTAGAAAAGATGCAGTTTAAATTTCACTTGCAATTCAAATGGATATTTTGTCCCCAGAGTTATATTGTTAGGAAAAGAAAATGGTCTGAACATTCTTTATGTGAAAAACAAATATGGTTTTGATTTCACTGAAACTCTTTCACACCAAAGAATCTGTTCAATTCCATGTTAAATGTCCTGCATTATGAGATCTCCATAGGTTTCATTGATCTATGACAAGAATCTACCTATGAAAACTGCACAGATTGAACTCTTCTACTTGAGACATAGAATATGCATCTTTCTTTTGTATGTCAGGCAGAGGAAAAGCCCCAGCCATCTTACAGTGTTCCAACTTATTTTCTGCTTTGTTCCCATAGATGTTGGAAAGCACAGACAAATAGGGCCTGGTTCTATGAGCTCAAGTATGTACAGAATGTCGCCTCAACTCAAGACTTCTTTAAGTTGGCACTATTGATATCTGCACCAGGTCAATTTTTGTTTGTGGGAAGTCTCTATGCATCATGGAACATTTAGCGGCATCTCTGGTACCAATCCACTAGTGGCCTGTGGAATCCCCTCCCAAATGGTAGCAATCAAAAGTGACTCCAGTTATTACCAAATGTCTCCTAGGGTGGGAAAGTGAAGGGGTTCAAAAATAAAATTTGAAAACCACTGCCATAATGGAACCAGTTTGAGATCCTATATCTGTGTAAAGTATGAGCAGATTTGCCTCTGGAAACTAATTCCTAGAACTAGCCAAACTTTATGCCAAAGGAGAGCTTCTGAACCTATGGTTAAGGAGATAAACACATGCGCATCAGTTTTACTTAAACTTGATGCTTTAAATCACAGGACCCAAGACAGTCATGTTTTAAGAACCCCCTGGCTTAGAAGAGTTACCTAACTATGTGGCTCAGAGTTTGCAAGAAGGTGGCTACCTCCCTCTGGGTAATGCAAAGAGCTTCAGTAGTAAAAGGCTTGCAGATGGCAGTGTGGCTACCTCCCCTGGATCAAGAAAAGGAACACCTATGGGGATGACTGGTTCATGCACCAGTAGTTCTGAGTTGCTTGTAATCAGTTTTAACAAGCAATCCAGAAGATTTCGGAGGTATCATCGATACATTTAGTCATTCAATAAATATCTACTGAGTGCCACTGTGTGCCACATCCTATGTTCCTCAGTGGGATGTAGCGGGGCATAACATGGGCCCATCCTCTGCCCTCATAGAGCCAGTGGAAAAGATGCCAAATAAATGCAACTATGATAAATGATGCTAAGGGATGAGAGGGGAGCACATCGCAGGGCTATGTCCTCATTTTATGGGGATCGGGGATTGAAGGAAGGTAGGAAAAAGATGAATACGAAGCCGGCAAAGAA